AAATACATAAGACATCAACTCTTCAATCCTGCTGTCAGCAAAGTCTCTAAAGAGTTTTTTAATCTTGATCAAATAAACCAGCCTTATATTCTTTCATCTATGGAAGTCTTAATCTTTAGTTCATGCAGATATTGTCATGGGATTTGATCCTTTTTCAATTCTTTGTCACATTATATAGGATTCTTTGAGATTTAACAAGCCTCTTTTGTAAATCCAAAACACCACCACCACATTATCCAGATCATTCTCTTAATTTGTCATTTGCATTCCCCTTTAATTTTTAAAACTTCAACCAGCTCCTTTTATATATCAGTGAAGAGCCTTTATTCATGTCATTCTCTTGGCCTGGTACTCTTATTTCCACTTTGAATATCTCCTCTAGTTTAAGCCACACTTTTTTATCCATTATTTCTGCATCAAGCAAGAATTGTTTCACATCTGTCATTCCTTCATTAACAGCCTTTAAACATAGTCTATACATAGAAGCAAATGTTAGCCCTACTATTACTGAAATGACTACTAATGTCTGAGCCCATTCTGCAAAGATCTCTTTTAGTATTTCGAATGTAATAGTGTTTTGTTTCATTTTGGTCCAAATCCTAATCATAAGCAAAAAGAGTTTCTTTTTCTTTTTGCCTGGAATCTTTAGTTCCCTTCAGTATCCAATTTAATTAATAAGGTGCCTACTCTTTGTTATGAAGTAAACAGAATCATTCTGGTTTCCCCTTCCCTGTCAAAGAAGCTGCTTATTACATATTAAATAGTGCTGTCGGGAAATTCTGGAAATTGAAGTCCACATATCTTAAAGCTGCCAAGGATGAGAAATACTGAATTGTAGCAATTAATACACCACATAAAGATACTTCAGCTGTTTTTTTCCCTCTCTCTTTCTTCTCTTCTCTGTTGTAACTTCAAATGGTCACCAAATAAATGGTTGTAAGTCAAGGATATTTAAAGTTTTGTGGATGAAACAACAATTGGTCATTTCATACTTGATTTAAAGTGGTTGTAAATCTTTGTTGAGGTTGATTTACAGTGTTAAATAAAAAACAATGGTTAATATAATTTGTAAATGCATTTACAAATTGTTTTACAAGTTACTTGGAATAGAAAAAATGTTTATGAATGAATGTAGGAATACTATGATACTTTCAGGTTTAGAAAATGTTCACTTTGCCACCTCCTTCCTTTTCAGATGTTTTTTAAAGAGTCAAACAAATTAATGAAAACCTATCAGTTGATGTCAGACATAAGTAATAAGGTAGAACCTTTATGCTGACAGACAGTAGGTAACAGCTGTTTATGCCCTTTTTGTGAATATAATAGAAATATTAAAATGATTATTGTTGGAAATAGGAAACCTTTAACAACATAGGATTTTAAATTATTTCATTTTTGTTTATGTAACTTCTTTCTAATCTGAACCTTACATGGACATCTTATAAAGATGTTGTTGCTATTACATTGTATAAATTTCAATCAACTTGGTCAGTGGTCAAAAAGAATGAAGCTTATGGTTCAATTTCACGAGGCCAAGCTTGGGAGGATTTATTTATTTTCATATGCTAAGTGCAGAACAGTTGGAATGACTGCCAAATATTTTTCCCAGAAAACTTTATGCTAATAAAAGAAAAAAGATAATATCAAACAACAGACAAGACAGCTTCGTTTTTGCTTGCTTAATGTCTACATGTCACAATTCAAATTCATAAATAAAGGAAATTTTCCATAATGCAGTTTTGTGCAACTTTAGCATTATACTTCTCACTTTTGTGAAAAATGAAGCTGTTGGCCTGGAACAGATATCCAAAGAGCAGTTGCCACCAAATCCCCTTTTTCGTAGTTGTCATAATTCTCAGTTGGGAAATCCCAGAAGTATTTAGTCACAGTAGCAGCATAATAGTGTGAAATGTCCATTTTTCTACTTTCCTCATTTTAGTGCCAGCTTGAAAATGCTACCAAGGCACCATGAAAAAAAATGAAACACCTTTAATTATTTCATCTGTTCCATTTGGTAATTAGCAAATTCCAGAATATTAGTTGGTGTTAATTGACAATGTTACACTGAAAAAAACAAGCTTTTACCATACTAATGAAATATTTTCTTCTGACTTCTGAAGGAGAGAAAGAAAATGTCTTTCTGTATATTTCTTATTCTAAGTCCATAACTAAACATTTAAAAACCTATGTTGGCATCTTGTGTTTGTTAAATCGAAGGGATGGGATGATATGATTTTCATGGGATGATATGATTTTCAGTTGGTGAAATTTAACATTATCTATCTTCAGAATAGTAGGTTGATACAAGAAAATGTAGGCATTTATTCTTTAGTAGAAAATAAAGGGAATTTGTATTATATAGTGCATTTTAAGGTAACTTCTAGTGTTTGAAAAAAGGTATCAGTTGATTAATTCTAAATTGGAAAAGAGCACTAAACTGGGATGTTTTAGTTACTATATATCAGGATTGCCTTTATATTGTGAATGGATTTGGGAACTGTACATGCAAACTGGGCAGAAATATTTGGGAGTGAGTCTCAGCAAAAGGGAGCACTTCAGTGGTGGGATTCAAATTTTTTTACTACCGGTTCTGTGGGCATGGTGTGGCGGGCGTGGCAGGAAAAGGATACTGTAAAATCTCCAGTCAGAGGTGATATTTGCTGGTTCTCCAAACTACTCCAAATTTCCACTACCAGTTCTCCAGAACTGGTCAGAACCTGCTAAATGTCACCTCTGGAGCACTTGGTCAACTTAGGCTCAAAGGTTATTTATGAACCTGACTAGTATTTAGATAGGAGACCATTTGGGGAAATTAGGACTTTAGACTAGGCTGGATATTAAAATAACATTTCCAAAGAAGACAGTGGCAAATTCAAATTGTTGCAAAGAAAAAACTGTGGATTAAACAAAAATGAATGAAATAAACAAAAATGAAATAATCAGAGGTGAAAATCAGTTTGAAGGAGATTTTACTTTCCAAACACCCACAATGTTTTAACCATTGACTCTCTCTCTCTCTCTGTGTGTGTGTGTGTGTGTGTGTGTGTGTGTGTGTGTGTTTGCATGTGGGGGAGGTTGCCTTTGGGGCACTCTTATTTCCTGACAACTATCTGGACAAGTATGTTATTGCCTCCTCCCCAGAGCTGAGACAGAATGACTGGCCCATGGTTACCCAGCTTGAGTGGGACTGTAACTCTTCATCTCCCAGTGTCTAGCCTGATGCCTTCAGGAGTACACCAAACTGGTTGTCTTACAAAAATATATTGCATAAATATGCTTACAATTGTGTGAAATCCTTTTAACTTTATTGTTTTACTGAATATAATACTATCTCATTTTCCTGTCTTATAATAAGGCTTGATTTATGAAGAAGGCTAACATATTCACACATTCACAGTTTATGCTAATATAACATTATGTCTCACCCTAAGTCAGTAAATACTGTAGGTTAGTTGAAAATAAATCCTTTGTAGATTAATTGGAAAACCAACTAAAATCAAAAATCATAATAAATATTGATTAAATGTTTGTAATCCCCATGCAGTATATGAAAACAGGAGCCTTATACTTCAGGCAGAGATCATCTGCAGATCATGCACCTGTGGGGAAAACACTAGGGATAAAATGTTCAGGATGAATGAATGGGGAAAATATTATTCTACAGTTCAAGATGTGCAGATAGCTTGTTGATTATAAGTTAACATCTGAATTACCTGCATTTGGCAGGGATGAAGCTAATTGATAAATCCTGTGCAGTTAACTGAGACCTATTGGGATTTTTTGTATGGCTTAGAGCAGTGGTTGCCAACCAGTGGGCTGGGGACCACTGGTGGTCCGCAAGAAAATTTTGGTGGTCCGCAGAGAAATGTCACCCCCAAAGCACACCCCAAAGCAATGGCCACCGGGCTGCTTCTTTCCACTTCTTTCTTCTTCTGCTTCTGGCTGCACGCAAGGAAAGCAGCAAAAATCTTTCTTTCTCTCCCCCAACTCTGCCAGAAATGAGTCTTTGGGCGCTGCAAGGCATCCTGCTCCAAGAGCTTACACACGTGACAAGTCTCACAAAGACTTATTTCTGGTGGAGTTTGGGGGAGAGAAAGAAAGACTTCTGCTGCTTCTGCTGCTTTCCTTTGCATGAAGCCAAAAGTCAATCAGTCAGCCTCTCTCTCTCTCCCTCCCTCCCTCCCTCCTTCCCTGAGAATGGAGCTGGAGATCCTGCGATCCCAAATAAAGAATGATCGATCGGTAGGAAAATGGGGTGGGGAATTTTCCTACAAATCTTTTTTGGGATTTTCCCAGGATCTTTGATCTGTGGGATTTAAAATTATGAGTTTGGTGGTCCCTGAAGTCCAAAAGTTTGGCGACCCCTGGCTTAGAGTATAGTATAACATTAGTACAAGTCTCTCTTTCTTCCTCATTCAAATGTCTTCAATATCTTAGTTTTGATGCTGTATAAAGACATTGATAGAATCCTTGTACATTAAACACAATTAATTTACTTTTCACTTAATATTGATGGGACAAGATGGGACGAGAATATGGCCAACAGCCCTGTGTGCTATCAGTATCAGCAAACTAGATTCTCTGAGCCATTCTGTTTATTTAACGATTGCTAAGGTAATTGTTCATACTCTCTATTGCATCTAATTATTATGGCATTTAAATTAACTGCCATTTTCATGTTCCAAACCCTTAACACTATCAGATAAGCTCTTTAGTTATGGAGAAAGATTTGAATCAGCCAAAACTTTTTCATTTGTGTTAACTAGTTTACCTAGAACCTGGTTAGAGCCATAGTTCCCTAACAGAACAGGGTTTTCCACGTAATTTTTTTTAGCATCAGTTTCCATGTATGAGATTTTGCCTTAAACATGCTACATGCTTTTTAGACTATTTAAAGCCAAATCATACAATAGAATCAGATTTTGATTGTTGTGGAATCAGTCTGGGAGCTAAAGGGGTATAATGTAGATAATTCTGTTGGCTTCTTTTTATTCTTTCAGGTATTCCAGATTGCTTATGTCATTGTAAAAGCAGCTAATGCACCACGGCCTGGAAACTGGATTTTGGAGCGTTCATTAGATGGTAACAATTATGAACCCTGGCAGTACTATGCTATTACAGATACGGAATGTCTGACTCGTTACAACATCACCCCTCGCACTGGGCCTCCTTCTTATGCAAAAGATGATGAAGTTATATGCACTTCGTATTATTCAAAAATCCATCCTCTAGAAAATGGAGAGGTAAGATGAGAAATATCACTGCTCTTACTAAAGTAGCAATCAGCTGCCCTGTTGAATATGTATATGACCTCATCAATTCATGTATATGCATAAAGTTCATTAGATAAAACATTTTCGAATGTTCGTATAATATGTCTTACGGGATTTGAAAGGAAAATGTTTTATCTAGTTCCACCCCCACAATACTTGGAAAATGTTTTGAATAACACAGAATTATGAAGAGATACACCTAGATATGGTTAAGAACAGAGAAACTAAGGATCCTTTTGTGACTCTCCTGTATCTTACAGAGATGGTCTCCAAGACTAGCTGCTTCATAGACATCTTTAAAGTTGAGTTTAGATCAAAAGAAAGGGTATTTGTGCAGTGAATAAAGCTGTTCAAATTCAGAAATACATTTCAGTCGAGTTCCCCCAATGTGAAATGTAAAGACAAATTTAAATGTTTCTACCGTATAAAGATATAGAGCATGGGTATCAAACTTGCGGCATCACATTGCCGTCACGTGACATTTCACAATGTTTGTTTCCCATTGTAGAGCTGGGGTGGGTATGGCCTGTATGTGACACATCTGGTCCACGGGCCACCAGTTTGACACCGCTGACTATAGAGAGTATAGAAGACGACCTTGATGAAAATATGCAGGAGCCATTATCTAGGCAAAATGGGATGAAATTGTTTTTTTAAGCCCAGAACCAAGAACTGATATTTGGGGAACACCTCAAGCAGACATCTGTTTAATTCAGCGTACTATAAGAACTAAGAGGAAGCACAGCACTGTCAAATTGGCATGATTCTACCATTATAGCCAATTTCAATAAAAGTAGTTTTAGCCTTCCTATGGGTCTGATATTAGTGAAATGCCTGAAGAGTTTCAGGTTTAAAAAGAAGTGTGTGGGTGATAGCAGATTGATGAGGGAGAGATAGAAAGGTAGATTACTGCTCTACATTTGCGTTTTAACCAATCATTGTCATCTAGCTTAATAGTAAAGAAATAGTTTCTTAATATTTTTGAAAGGAAAATTGATGTTATTCTAATGGTGGCACATGAGGTATTTGCTTTTTCCACCATCTTGCAACATTAAGATTTACTCAAAAAATAGCACAGAAAAATGTGGAAAAAAAATTCTAAAATCAGATAAGAAAAACAAAATGTATCAGAAAAGGTTTTACTGCATATGAAATGATTACATTACATTTTTAATTCAATGTTACAGGGATCTTAATTTGGCACTAGTTATATTTAGATTGGTAGCATTTCTGACGTTTGTATGTCAGTATGCGTACTTCGAAGTTCGGAGATTACAGAATAGATGGAACATCCATTGAATTCTGAATTGTATCTAGAGAGAAAACCACCTTTGACCTATGCTGAAACTTTTTAAAAAGAAGAATTTAAAATAAAATATGTTCACTCAATAATATTTCAGAAAATCTTTAAAAATAACTATTATTGAAATAATATTACAGAAAATCTTTAAAAATACTATTATTATTACTCTATTTAATACAAATGTTAAATACACTCACCAAAGATCATATTTAGGGTCTTATAAAAATAATAATTCTGTTAATAGTATAGCTCTGCTGGTTGATTATTCATTTCTTTTTATTAGTCATTATTTTTCCAAAGATACTTCCTTAATTTTCAGCAGTTTTTCATAATCTATATAAAAGCGAAATACGACTCATGCATCATCACAAAATCTCCAGAACCCTAAAGCCTACAAACTTGAAATTTGGCACATATGTTCCTCTTGACTTCTAGGTGTTTACAAAGAAAGGATTTTTTGAAATGACCATCAGAGCATTAATATTTTGTATATTATTATTAATATGCTTTGATGCTAAGGAGTTCTACTCCCCCTCCCCACCTGAAAAGAAATCTGTTCCAAATGTAAAACCAAGCAGAGGAGAGGAATTTCAGTTTCATTTTTAGTTGCACAGCACCAAGAAGCTTTAGTACAGAACAGCTGAGCTAAGCTCCTTGCTGTCTCCTCCTTGCTCACACAGCAAATACTGTTTCAGTTTCCAGACAGTCCTCAACTCTCACACACACTGACAGGATGCTACCGTGTTTCTCATATAATAAGGCTGGGTCTTATTTTTTTTTGAGCCCTGAAAAAATGGCTGGGCCGTCTTTTTTGGGGTGACTTAATTCCCCACCTTGGATGTTCAGGCGGGAAGGCGGCGACAGCTTGGATGTTGACCTCGGCGTTGGTGGGGCACTTCGTATCGGGGTCAACGCAGGAAGCACCATATCTGGGTGTGCAACAAAAGTACTTCCTAACAGCAAGCCCCCCACCATTCCCCCCCATTTCACATGTTTTAATATAGGCCTTAATTTGGGGGAAGGGGCTTAATTTCATTTCATGCCTATAAAACATGCTGGGACTTCCTATTGGGGGAGGCCATATTGTTGGAGAAACAAGGTAGGCAGATGAATACCGATGGATGCTGGTAGGCACAGGCACATTTCCCACTCACCCCTTATTTTTCTCCCCCAAAACTGAGCCCGACCACATAGTTTCGTAGTGAAGCGTGGGTATTGAGCTACAATACCTATAGATCTTCATTCAGTGCTTATTCTAGATTTCTTCACAATTACTTGTGAGTTCATGTATTCCCTGCATCAACATAATAATATGGCTACAAAATTTTAGTTCTCCCAAACAAATATTTCAATATGTAATGCAGTCTAAAACATTAGAAATGTTGTAGATGCATGAATTAGTTGTTTTGATTTTTTTTTAATGCTGCAAGTGTTAATTCATTTGGTCAGAATAATGAGACATAGCAATACAGTTTAAAACTGTGAAGTACAACTGTGAAGTTTGTCACCGTACATCATTCAAATTTATTTGTTATTCTCTTTTGAATGTTATGCTTTGCCATATGTATTCTTTCCCTTTCTTTACTTTAAAGAGCAGTGTGTTCTTTCTTGCTATCTCAAGTTGTTGGCATGCACTCTGATATTAGGCATTTCAGTTTAAATTCCCAAGCTTAAATATCTATTACAGTTGTTGTGAGTATTAGGAATCTGTTGATATTTTGCTGTATATGGTGGAGACATGGTATTTTGTTCAAAGTGACAATTTTCCGATTTCTCTTCACCTCAGCCCCCTTTATGAGTTTTTAAGTGTGCATGACAGTGGACAATCTAGCTGATTTTGCCACCTGTCTGGAGATATTCTTTGACTGGGTACTGTTATACTCACAAGCGATCCATTAACCTTTGACAATGATGAGGAAAAGGTGGCTATTAGTGTAGAGATAACAATTTTCTTGCTTCTGCTGAGATCCATGAAACAACATGTTCCAGGCCTTATATAAAGTTGTGTTGGTGCTGAGGGCACAACAGTGAATTGTTCTTCATTTTGACCTCACAATAATCTACGCATGGCTTTTCCCCTTTCAGTTATTCTGCTGATATCGGAGATTCTCCCTCAATGCTATGTTATTTCATTTATTAGTTATGTCCTATTAATATAGCAAAGTTTTTAACCAAAAATAATCTGTTACCTTTTTTTCTTCCTGAAAAAAATATCAGTGATTAATAGGAAAGAAAGAAAGAAAGAAAGAAAGAAAGAAAGAAAGAAAGAAAGAAAGAAAGAAAGAA